ATCTTAAAGATAGAAGATGGTAAAGAATATATTGGAAGAGTAGTATTCCCTGTATATCCACAATGGAAAACAAAAAGTGAAGTAGCAGTTATGAAATATATTTATTTAAATACGAACATCCCTGTTCCCAAAGTTTATTATTGGAATAGCTTTGCCAATAATCCAGTAGGAGCAGAATATATGTTAATAGAATATTTACCTGGTATTCATCTTTGTGATATCTGGAGCGACCTCAGCATTGAAAAAAAAAGATGTTTCTTTTAAAAATTATTGACATTCAATTGGAACTTAAAAACTCACATTTTCAAAAATTGGTAGTATTATTTTTGATAAAAATAATAGGTTTAAAATTGGTCAGGTGATTGAAATCAACTTTTTAAATGAAGAACAAGTAATATTACCTATCATAGAATGAAGTCCTTTTAACACAATACAAGAATATATTTTAGACGTTATTCGAAATTTGATTTATCACTATAAATCTAAAGATACGCAAAAGTGTTTGATTTCAAAATATGAAGAACTATGCAAATTAGTACCAAAATATTTTCAGAATGATGAAAATGACATGTTTGTATTAATATATAGAGACTTTCATTCATCAAACATTCTAGTCAAGAATGATGAAATTTCAAAAATCATTGATTGGGAATGTTCTGGTACATTTCTAATTGAGTTCTGCACTTACCTGATTTGGATAACTAAAAAGGATAATGAAGAAGTTGTAAAGGACAATCTATTACTAATAAAATTCTTTCGTAATGAAATGACTTGTTGAGATTCTAATTTTATACATATAATTGACAATATAATAAATGAAGAAAAAAAAGCATTTTATTCTGCAGTGTTTAGTCAAGATGTATGTAAAGTAGATGATTTTCTAGACAAATATAAAAAAAAATATTAAACTTTTACTTTCTTAATATTTTTTCGTATTTGTAATTTAAATACAAATAAAATTATTTAGTGATTACAATAAATAGATAATTAAATTTCCAATATCCTAATCTCCAATTATTAAAATAATTATTCATTCAAATTATAATTAAAAAAAAAATAAAACAATTTTAGGTCAATTAATTTTTTTATACAAAAAAGTATTTTTCAAATTAATTTAAACAAAATGCAGTAGCACAACAGAATTAAATTTGGTGAAAAAGGAATCCTGATATACAAAATCCTAATGTACAAATTAAAATCAAAATTTTAATAGTGTATTCTATAATTTGATCTGGAATTTCTTTTAATACAGCCTTTGGCAGATCTATTATATTTCAGATAAAATCATTCATACTGACAAAATGAACAATATCTCGAGGATGAAAGTTACCATTCTATTTACGATTTAATATTGGAGGGTGAATTTAGCGACAAAACTAAATCATCAATTAATGAAATTTTATAGTCTTGGTAAGTTAATTAAATATATATATATATTTTCATTTTAAAGTTATTTAAACCTTGATCTGAATTTAGGATAGTTGTGTAGAAAAAAGATGAAAACCTCGATGAGAAAGATTATACTCACTTGTTCATCATATCACCTTTAAACAAACTTCTTGGAGTGTTACTAAACTATGTTATATTATATGGGTAAATATTTAACAATAATGTATTTACTAGCACTCTTTTTGAAAATAATTTTATACAATATCAAATAATATAGGCCTGAGAATCCAACCTACTGTTCATATGAATATAGAATCTATTTTTTCGAACTTTCAATTAATTTTAGAGAAATATCTAATGATTAAATTTTTGATCAGTTTTTTCTTAAAAATAGACAATCAAGTAATATTTCAAAAACAACAGACGAAATAAAGGATATTATTATTATCAATAATCAAAATCCAAAAACTTATTATTGATATTCTAGGAATGGCTCTACCACTGTTACTATAAAGGATTTAAAAGAACCTGGAAAGTATGAAAAAGGGGTCATTACATCAAAAAAAAA